AGTGAGATCAGAAAAAACCCTGGTGTTCAGTAATGAATTCAAAATCTAATAGAACATATCACTCCTAGCTTCTGCCCGAAAAGCTGTAACAACAATGACCCATTATAGCAAACAAATATCCCAGCTTCGAAGATTTTCTCCTTAATACTGATGTCCCACTAAAAGCAAAACAATAAAGTTGGAACAGTGACAGGATTCAGGTGTGTTTAGGGAAATGTAGGCAGCGGATGAACATCTCAGTATACAGAAAGCAGGGAAATATGAAGAGACCTCAGATCCAACGCCAGAACAAAGCTGAAAATGACCAAAATGAAACATTAATACTCAAAGAAAAATTCTCAGGATGATTCAAAAGCAACAAAGCCTAGTATAATACAGCTTCATCCCCTGATGTCGCTCAACATCAGTACAATTATATCCTTGGGTATTTAGGAAACAACGAGTGATAAAGAATAGAGTAGTCACATTAATTTATTGGGGACGAAGTGCCAACTCATGGCGGAGGCTGAGGCAGCACACAGAGTCAGGTGTGTTCTTTATGTCTGAGGAACAAAGAAGAAAGGTTGGGGCGTTTATAAAAAGAGAAAGTTACCTATTGCTTGTGAGAAAAAGTATCGGCCACTAGCAAGTTCTGGGAGCGCAAAGCCCGAAATGGTGAGCAACGGCGTGGCCATAAGTTTCCTGAAGTGCAGCAAGTCATCTCAAAGCAGCTCCAGATAAAAACCTGGTTCTAGTCCGGGGCGGGCTCAGGCCTGGAATTCCCGCACTGCGAGGCCCGAGCGCGGGCAGATTCACCAGAGTCTAGGAGTTCCAGACCAGCCTGCGCGAACATGGTGAAACCCCCATCTCCACGACAAATACAAAAATTGGGCCGGCAGCGCGGTGGCTTCCAACCGTAATCCCAAGCACTGTTGGGAAGAGGCCCCGAGGCGGGCGGATCATAAATCCAGGAATGAGAACCATCCATGCTAACACGGTGGAAAACCCGTCTCTAAATAAAAAAACAAAAAAACTAGCGGTGAGGTGGTGGGCACCTGTAGTCCCAGCTACTCAAGGAGAATCTGAAGGGCCAGGAGAAATGGCGAGAACCTGGAAGGCGCGGAAGCGTGCAAGCGCGAGCGCCGAGATCCCGGCCACCTGCACTCACCAGCCGGGCCGACGACAAGCGCTCCTCAACAACACAAAGCAGAATGTGGTAGCACAGACCGAGTATCCAGCTACCTCCAGAGTCTGAGATGGGGAAATCAATTCGCAATCCGGGAGGCGGAGGTTGCAGTTATCCAAGATTGCCACTTCACTCCAGCCTGGGCAACAGCAAGACTCCATCTCAAAGGGGGGAAAAAAAAGCATCCTACTGATTCTAGAGATCTTTTAAAAAATATAGCAACCAGTCATCTCATGCTTTTTCAATCTTAGATTCTATTCCTTCTCTTCTAATAAATTTTCATTATTTTATTGCTTAAAACACTTTTTCACTGGTTTGTCCAAGATAAGCATTAATTCCCTCAGTCTCATTTCTCTCTTCCCCACCCCAATTGTTTTTGATCTATGTTTCTAACATCCCTATGAATTACTTGGAATGACAATTTAAGAATATTGTACTAAGACACTTTTTTTTTTTTTGAGATGGAGTTTCGCTCTCGTCATCCAGGCTGGAGTGCGATGGTGTGACCTCGGTCATGGCAACCTTCTCTTCCCAGGTTCAAGCAATTCTCCGCCTCAAGCCTCCCAGGTAGCTGGATTATAGGCATGCGCACCAGCCCAGCTAATTTTTGTATTTTTAGTAGGACGGGGTTTCCATGTTGTCAGGCTGGTCTCGAACCCCCGACCTCAGGTGATCCACCAGCCTCAGCTTCCCAAGTGCTGGGATTACAGGCCTGAGTCACCGTGCCCGGCTGTACTAAGCCACTTTCAAAGAATGAATAAATTTTGGTTCCATTACTTTCCTCCGTGGTTTATTTTACATGTTAATCAAGAATTAAATATTTTCTTTTTGTATTACAATAGGAGTGCTGATGTTACTTTAATAAGTCATTAAATCATTATAAACCATTTCTTTTGTTTGTTTTTGAGACAGGGTCTCACTCTGCACCCAGATGCTGGAGTGCAATGGACAATCATGGCTCATTGCAGCTTTGACGTCCTGGGCTCAAGTGATCCTCCCACCTCCGCCTCCTGAGTAGCTGGGACTACAGGCATGCACTACTTCTGGCTAATTTTTAAATTTTTTGTAGAGGCTGGGTCCCCACTGTGTTACCCAGGCTGGAAGTTTCTATTTATTTATTTATTATTAAGACGGAGTTTCGCTCTTGTTGCCCAGTCTGGGTGCAATGGCGCAATCTCGGCTCACTGGGGTGCAAGCGATTCTTCTGCCTCCGCCTCTCCAGTAGCTGTAATTACAGGCATGCACCACCAGCCCGCGTTACTTTATACTTTTAGTAGAGCCGGGGTTTCTCCATGTTGGTCAAGCTGGTCTCAAACTCCTGACCTCAGGTGATCCGCCGTCTCGGCCCTCCAAAGTGCTGGGATTACAAGCGTGGAGCCACCGCGCTGGGCCAGAATTTTTTCTCTTAATGTACCACTGTGGTTAATTGGGAATTAACAATGACAGGGCAAATATTTACAAGCTTTTAATTAATGTGCCAGGTGCAATGCGTGACAATTTTTTTTTTTTTTTTTGAGATGGAGTCTTGCTCTGTCGCCCGGCTGGAGTGCAGTGGCGTGTCTTTGCTCACTGCAAGCTCTGCCTCCAGGTTCACGCATTTTCCCGCTCAGCCTCCTGAGTAGCTGGCACTACAGGTGCCCGCCACCACGCACGGCTAATTTTTTGTATTTTCAGTAGAGACGTGGTTAAAAATGATAATCAGAAAATACATGACATGTGGCTACTGAGCTTACCGTTTAAAGTTTGTCAGACCTTTAACTTTTCTCTATGGAGGAGCCCTTCTCCACGAACCCAGTGTACTCAGTGCTTGTAATTTACAGCAGTCATTAAAATGATGACATTACATGTAATTCATTTATTTCCAAAGAGTAATTGAGGACCTAAAAAATGTAGGTGGTAATAGGGATGTCCATGACATACAGCACTATGTAATATGCAAAGGCTTACACAGCACTCTCATCAATCCATGAACATGCTTTTTTGTCTTAGATCAAGCTTGGCCAACCTGCAGCCCTTGGGGGATGCGTGTGGCCCAGGACGGCTTTAAATGCAGCCCAACACATGTATGTAAATTTTCTTAAAACATTATGATTTTCTTTGGCGTTTTGGTTTTTTTGTTTGTTTTAGCTCATCAGCTATTGTTAGTGTGAGCCTATTTTATGTGTGGCCCAAGCCAATTCTTCCAACGTGGTCCGGGGAAGCCAAAAGATTGGCCATCCCTGCATTAGATGGTTCATGTCTGACTTTCATTGAATAAACCTGTGCCTTTACGATACCACATTAGTAAAACGGGGCTCAATGTGTTTTAAAAAAATCACATTATGTGTATTTCCAGACATAAGGTAAGTTTCATCAACTTTTATCCAAACTAACACCCTCAGTTGTAATCCCACTAAGAACCGCCAGGGCGAGAAGCAAGCGGCACCGCTTCCATCTTTACGTGGAGTCTGGGAAATGGTTCAGCACCATGAGATCCGCCGAAGACGTAGGTGTAGACGAGGAACAAAAGAGAAGACCCCTCGTGGAGGTGGCCTGTGGGGCCCGCCCTCCCCGGGCGCCCGTCGCCGTCTGTCCCTGACTCCGCTCCCCCGGGGGCCGCAGCGAGTGCGCCCCGCGATGGAGCGGGCTGTGGAGGGAGCCTCCATGGAGTCTCCATCAACAGTTGAGGACCAGGAGACGGTGGCAGGCGGTAGAGCGGCCTGGGCAGGGCCAGCGCCCCGGGCTGCGGAGCACAGGACGGCGGCGCCCAGGGACGCCTCAGGGCGGGCCTCGGCCCCTCCAGCCGGCGGGAGCCCAGCTCCAGGGGAGCCCGCAGCTCCCTCCATCTTGGTTGACGGAGGCGGGGAGCGGCGTCCGGGTTTCTCCACCGTCGTGCCCGTCCCCTACGGCCCCGCGGACGCAGACGCCAGCAGCAGGGGCTGTTCCCTTGGCCGAATGGTAGAGCCCAGTCGGGGCTTCCCGGGGACAAGTTTCCCGGCCCCACGGGGTTTGGTTTTTAGGGGGTCCCAAGTTCCCACAGTCGTCCCGACAAAATGGAGGACGTCATCTCCTGCTGCTGCAGCCATGGCGGGAGGTGGGGGACTATTCCCCACGGGGCGCGGCGAGGGTGGAAAGGCCTCCACTGGCCGCAGCGGGCCGGATCCGGACTCCAGTTCACCCGCGGCCCCGAAAGCCCACTCGGCCCCGCACCAGCGCCTCCCCGGCCTCGCCCCTGTCCTTCCAGGAACTCGACAGGGAGGGCGCTGGGGCATCGAGGCTGCCGCTCTCCTCGGGCAGAGGCGTTGAGATCCGCTGCCGCAGCCTGGGCGCCCGGGGCCGGGCAGGCGGCCCCGCCGGAGTCTCCCGGGCTATATAGGTCCCGGAGAGCCCCGGGCCCTGAGGGGCCGAAGCGCGGCCGCTGCGACGGGCGGCGAATCTCGGGCTCCTGAGCCTGGCGGACCCGGTGGGTGGGGGCGGGAGTCCGACGGGCAGTGAACCTGGCCAGGCGTTGAGGGCTGGCAGAGGCGGGAGTGGAACGGCCGGGCCGCGGGTGTGGCCCGCAGCTGACGGACAGCCCTGCGGACCACCCCACCGAGGGGGGGCCTTGAAGGACTGCCGTCGGAGCCAATGGGCGTGCTCGAGGCGCCCAGGCCCGCCTCCCCCGCCGCCAACGAGCGTACGGAGGGTGGGGCCTCCCCGGGCTCGGCCGCGGCGCCGTCGTCTTCTCCGCCTCCTCCTCCTCACCAGCGCGAAAGCCGGGACTGGACTGGGCGGAGTTGTGCGTGTCGCCGAAGCGGGGTGGGCCGGGAGAGGGGAGGTTCGTTCCGCGGAGCCGCAGCCAGAACCGGGTGAGGCTTATCCCCGCTGTCTTTCCATTCCAGGGGCGCCGAGACTGGGGGTGACTGGGAGTAGCGCAGCCTCCGGAGGAGGAGGCGGAGATGGGTGAGGGCAGCCCCCGCAGCCTCCCACCGACCCGGTTAATATCCCGCGGCGCGGCCGCCGTCGCCGTTGCCGCGTCGGGGCCTCAGGGGCAGCTCGGGGCTGCGCTCCTGTCAGCGGCGCCTTTGCTTACGGCCCGAGGGGCTGGGAGAGTGCGGGCGAGGCCGGGAGTGTTGGGGGAGGCGGTGGCCAGCGGCGGGGGTCGCGGGGCTGGCGGGGGTCGCGGGGCTGGCGGGGGTCGCGGGGCGGCGGGGCGGGGGGCCGGCCGCCCGGGGACGTCGCGGGGCATTTTCCTTTCTCTGCTGCCGGGGGAGCGGGGAAGGGGCGCCCCGGCCGGGTCTCCGCTCTCGGGGCTGCGCTGCCGCCGGAGCCGAGGTCCCCAGGTTTTTCGGGCGAGGGCTGCTGCCTCTGCCCCGCTGGGTCTCCTCCTCCGCTCTTCTTTTTCCCGGCGCTGCGCGGCTTTTACTCTTTGCTGCTTCTCTGGGCGAGTTTAATGGCGGATCTGGGGCCCGTCGTCGACTGCTGGGGCCCCAGGGCAACTTCTCGAGGCAGTTGTGGGCCCAGAGGTGACGCGCGCCGCCCGTTACCTCGGAAATGGTGCTTGGAGTGGCAGAGATGACGCTGGGTGGGCAAACTTAGGAGGGAGTACAAGTCGCTTGTCGTCGAGGCAACGTTTACCCGTCCCTCTGCCTTCGTGGGAGCAGGCCTCGGGTCCCCAGCCCACTCCATCCCAGTCCTGCAGGTGGACGAAGCAGTTTTAGCTTTGTCTGGTCGTTGCGGTTCCTGTAGTTCTTTTTTTCAACTTAATTTCTGGGTCACATTAGGGCGGGGGAGGGTCTCCGAGCCCAGGAACTCCTTGGCCTCTCACCCCGTTGCCACCTCCCGGTGTTGAGTTGGTTGTGCATACAGGTTGATTGTACAGAAATTGGTTTTCATTTCTCATTCCAGGACCAGGAATCACCTTCAAGCCTATGTCGTGAGGCTTTGGCAGAAATTAAGAAGGAAGTATCTCCATTGTGAGTTTGATTTGTTTTGTTTTGTTTTTTACCTCGCTTTGCTGTCTCATATAATTAGTGCAGTAGTAGGGTGTTCTTCCTGAGGGGTTTACCTTTGTGTTATCTTGAAGGCCTTGGCCTTCAAGTTAATTGCTTGGGTGCTCCTGTCCCCAGAGCCAAGCCCTGGTAGTCCCTGGGAAGGCACGGGGAGTGCTGGCATTTATACCACTGGAACTCAAGTTCGAGAACAAGTTAGCTCTTTTAAGTGCCTTGCATTTTACAATTTTTTCTTTTCCAATAGATTGGAAAAACTTTTTAACTGTTGGATTAAAAAGAAACACTACTCAATAATCTGTTGTTTTGACGTTGATGTTTGCCTAGTATTTGAGGAAGACTGTTATTTATGTACCCTGACAGTCCTCCAGCTAGCATCACATGAGGAGATAACATAAACTAGTTGTCACACTGTTCCTAATTCTAAGATTGACCACCGAATCTGAGTGGCCTAATCTCTCTCTGTTAGGAAGTTAATGTTTGTTTTTGTTTTTTCGGGGTTTTCTTTGCTACTAGACAGTGATTTATGTGTTCATTTTGGTACAGTACAAATGCCCTTTCTCTGTCAGCTGTTCACTTAATGCTTTTAACACCAATCCTTGTGTGAATAATTTTATTAGGAGTGAAAATGATTTTCTTTAACAAGCTTTACTTCTACTTTTATTATCTGGGATTCAGTTCTTGCCAATTCTGTCCTTTCAACCTTGATCAGTTTTCCGTTGCTCATCAAAAACAAACTTGTGATTAATTTGTCCCCCATAGTAGTAGTCCTGCCTTCGTTTTACCCTTGTTGCTTTCTATTAACTTATTTGCTCTTATTTTCTTACATTTCACAGCACATCTCTTAATTAGTTAAACTTAGGACTGTGTCAGGATGTGGTGGGTAGGTAAAGTGGCTGGGCACAGTGGCTCATGCCTGTTTTCCAACCACTTTGGGAGGCTGAGATGGGCGGATAGCTCGAGAGCTTGAGCCCAGGAGTTTGAGTGTGGACAACATGGCAAAACTCTGTCTCTACAAAAAAATATAAAAATTAGCTTAGTGTGGTGGCACACGCCTGTAGTCCCAGCTACTCAGAAAGCTGAGGTGGGAGGATCGCTTGAGTTCAGGAGGTTGAGGCTGCAGTGAGCAGTGATCACAGCACTATACTCCAGCCTGAGCAACAGATAGAGACTCTGTCTCAAAAAAATCAGTAAAGTGGCTCCGGGCACTGTGACTCACTCCTGTAATCCCAGCCCTCTGAGAGGCCAAGGTGGGAGGATTGTTTGAGCCCAGGGGGTCAAGTCTGCAGTGAACTGTGTTTGTGCCATAGCATTCCATGCTGGGCGACAGAGCTAGACCCTGTCTTAAGAAAAAAAAAATCCTGGTCCATGAGGTTTGAGACACCCACACACGCACGCACACAAACGTGTATAGTTAGTGGGAGATATAATTCTTCCCCCCCCCCGAGATATAATCCTTGTCCTCTTTATTTTTTCCTTTAATTCTTGAGATTTTCTCAGCTTTATCTTTCAATTCTTATTGCTGAATTTTTCATTTTTGCCACTAAGCTTTTAGTTTCTAGCAGTTCTTTTTGTATTAGAAGTGTTGGCTGGGCATGGTGGCTCACGCCTGTAATCCCAGCACTTTGGGAGACTGAGGTGGGTGGATCACCTGAGGTCAGAAGTTCGAGACTAGCCTGGCCAACATGGTGAAACCCCATCTCTACTAAAAATACAAAAATTGGCTGGGCGCCATGGCTCACACCTGGAATCCCAGTACTTTGGGAGGCCAAGGCGGGCAGATCACCTGAGGTCGAGAGTTCAAGACCAGCCTGACCAACATAGAGAAACCCCCGTCTCTACCAAAAAAAAAAAAAAAAGTACAAAATTAGCCGGATGTGGTGGCGCATGCCTGTAATCTCAGCTACTCGGGAGGTGGAGGTTACGGTGAGCCAAGATCACACCATTGCACTCCAGCCTGGGCGACAGAGCGAGACTCCATCTATAATTTTTTCTTTTTCTTTTTTCTTTTGAGACAGAGTCTTGCCCTTGCAGTGATCTAGGCTCTCTGCAACCTCTGCCTCCTGGGTTCAAGCGATTCTTGTGCCTCACCCCCCCCGAGTAGATGGGACTACAGATACATACCACCACGTTGGCTCATTGTTGTATTTTTAGTAGAGACAAGGGTCTGACCATGTTGGCCAGGCTGGTCTGGAACTCCTGACCTAAGTGATCCACCTACCTCGGCCTCTCAAACTGCTGGGATGACAGGCACCCATCACCACACCTGGCCTGTGTAATTCCTTTTTAAAAAAATTTTATTTTAAATCTTTGTGGGTACATAGTAGATGTTATATATATTGTGTAATTCTCGGCTGGTTTATTTATGATTAAGAATTGGGAACTAAAGGCCTGGCGCAGTGGCTCACACCTGTAATCCCAGCACTTTGGGAGGCCGAGGTGGGCAGATAACGAGGTCAGGAGATTGAGACCATCCTGGCTAACACAGTGAAACCCCGTCTCTACTAAAAATACAAAAAAAAAAAA